TACAGCAGTTAATAATAAATAAATAAATAAATAAAAATATTCTGCTCTGTGCATCTGCCTAGAAAGTGCAAATTCAAAGAGTATACCTAAAGAGATAAACCAAAAGAGGCAGCTGTTTTAAAAAGCTACAGGCAGGCGCTATGTTTGCGCTCCTGCACCCTCCAAAGCATTTTTTTGGCTGGAAGCCAAAACACTCAACAGCCCTAGTAATTAAATCAACAATATTTAATGCATTTAATGGAAGTAAAACTCAGTTAATTCCATTTGGAGGGGTTTTTTTTTCCTGGCTCCACTGACTTCTTTGTCGACCTACCTTTTAGCAGGCAGCCTGTGGCCTACTAACCTTTGGAGCTGTGCACCCTGGGTATCGACTTTGACTGTTTTATGCACGTTCTGCCTAAATTCCATCAACTGGAGTTCAAGGGATACAAAGCTAGAGATGTGAAAAACACTTCAAATTCAAAACATTTCAAGCTTGAAATGCCCTATTTCAAAGTCAAAAGAAGTCTTAGGGGTTGAAAACAGCGATTCCAACCGTGTTCAAACGGTTCCAATGCTGTTCCAACCGTGCCAGAAGAGTTCTAAACGTGAAAATGGACCATTCTGAGTTTAAAACACTTCTGGTTGTTCTCAAAAGAATATTGGAACATTTCCAGGAAGGTCAGAACCACTGTTTTGAACGTGAACAGGGCATTCCAACTGAGATACGTCTTCAGTTCTATTACACAAGCCCACGCGGATTCCAAATCCATTTGTGCCTGAAGCACAAAATTAGCCTCATTTTTCCAAAAAATAACCCTTCATTTTGCTCCTGGAAAAGGGTTCAGTAAATCCAGTATGCGCTGCTCATAACTTGCCTTGGAGCTCTCTGGAGTAGCAGTAGACATCATACATCTCGCTGGCATCTCTCTCACCGTAGCTGCGGACCCCTGGGAGGCTGTTGCGATCTCCATAGCAACCAGGTCTTGACAGGGTGATGGGGTACCTGTATGAAGACCGTGGGCGGGGGGATTGGGGGAAGAAAAAGGATGCGGCTGCTTTCAACTCCATCACTGAGGCTTTTTTCAACTACAAAGGAAAGCCGGACCATAAAGACTTCAGGACAAGCATGGATGGGGTTAAGGGACAAAGGTGTGAATCCTTCAAGGTAGGCTAGGTCAAGAAACAGATGCAGCCAGGATTCTTCTACTTTATTCTTGTAGGGCCTATTAGCAGAATCTTGAAAGCTGGTCCAAACCTTCATTGCTCTATTCAAGGACAGCAAAAGTCAAGGCAGGGCTGTTCTCTTTCTCACACTTTCTCCTTTTCCAGGGCCACATTCTTCTGCAAAAGGTCTGCCACGGCAAAGGGCCCAAGGCCCCCTCGCCTTTAACATGCCTTGTCATTAACTGGCAAGCGTCTTTCTACGAATCTGCATCTTCAAAATGGCAACCCCAAAATCAGTCTCTTGCAGGGAGCGATGAGCGAATTCCCCCAGTTCAGTTCTTTTATTACTCTTTCGTGTCGCTCTGCTCAACTCTCTTCTCTTCCTTAATTCCAATCTAACTAGGAGAATTTATAAAATTAATTCCAGTATTGAGTGTATGCTGTTTTTGACGCTCAGTTACTTCCATTCAGTTGCATCTTCCAGGCATCCCCTATCTCCATTACCGATGCTCGCATGTTCATTGATAAAATAATACAGCATACTATGGGGAGAGGGGAGAAGCAAGGACCCTGTGCTCGTGCACACAATTACAACAAGGTTTTTTTGTGCAGCAAATGTCTCTGTACAATGGAAAAGCACTACATCAAAAGAATATATTTATATATCTGAAGGATCTAGATGGCAGAATACCTGCAGTTCCTACGCATTGGCCAACCTTTGCAATCTGGTTGGAACAGGGATGAGCAATCTGTGGTCCTCTAAATGTCACTGAACTACAATTCCCAGCATGCCTCCCCTTTGGCCATGCAGGTAGGAGTTGCTGGGAGCTGAAGTTCACTGACATTTGGAGGGCCGCAGATTATCTACTACTGAGACATAGGGATTGTGGCTGGATTGAAAGTACGGTCTTGCTTTGAGTCCGTGCATGGGGAACTGCAAAGGCAAAAGCTGAGTTCATACCACATGCTAAGTCAATGACTGGGTCCCTACAACATGCTAAGTCCCATTTTAGCCTAGTCTAGGATGCTATGCAAAGCCAGCTACAGTTTAATCTCTGCTTGATGCAAAATCCTGAACCACAGCATGAAAAATCCCGTAACTGCTCTAACTAATTAACTCCGTTGCTGAACTGAACCTACAGGAGGGAAGATTTTGTTCTGTCAAATCTACCCTCCTATAACTGAAACCTGTTAAGTCTTGCCCTGCCTTCTAGAGTGTTAGAGATTTTTTTCCCCCTTCTATATCAGGCCTTTAAGGATCTCAGCAGAGCTATCACGGATGGCTATGCAGTGCTTTGGATTTAATAGGGAAGAGGTGTTTTAAAAAATGGTGGTGTGTGAACATAGCCCTGTCTGTGACTCATTAAAGTAGCTGCATCTGTTTCCAAACAGAATCTGAAGCAATGCACAGCCCCACCTAGGCTGTTCTTCTGGAGTCTAAACATGGCCAGATTCTTCAATCTGAGATTCGATTATCATATGTATAGCCGTCTTCATTGGCCTTCTCTGATCCTGGACCAATTTGCATTCATCCTTCTTAAAATGCAGCTGTCTGGAGCAAGCTCTCCAGATGAGGCTGGACTAGGCTGAGTTGCGAGCTATGGTTTACGTTAAGGCAGCCCAGGGTCCTATTAGCCTCGTCTGCAGCTGTGTTCCATGGCCCCAAAATAATCAAAATGCGTCTGGCCCCACCCCTGGAGATGTAACATTTGGAGACCCTTAGAATTTGCTGAGGGAAGGCATCTCCTCTTTTTCTTGAAAGGGGAAAAAAATCACAAGAAAAGAATATTTTATCAGGCACTAATTACAGCGGAAAATGGGATCAGC